CTGGTAACAAGAACAGGTAATCAGATGATATTAGAAAGATTGGGCTATTATCAATGAGAATGGGCTAGACCATAGAGAGGCATCAAAGGCAGACTGAGTTCCACTCTTCATAAAAAATCATTCCAGAATGTTCTAATGTCTAATGTTTTCTGTTCTTCAATCCATTTCCCCTTGCCCTAAGGCATAATTGAGAAATTCTTTCCTTTTTTAAAGATTGTGTGTGTGTGTATGTACATGCATATGGGTGCCCACAGAAGCCAGAAGAGGGCACCAGATAGCCTGGCACTGGCTGCTGTGACTGTTCTATGTGGGCGAGAGAGCCAGATTCCAGTCTTTTGCAAAATCAGCAAGAGCTCTTAAGTCTGAGCCCTCTCTGCAGGCCCACTTCTTCCTTTCTATAGTGCTGTCCCATTTTTAGGCTTTTGAGGTTTCCCCAGTGTGGCATGATCAATAAAAACCCAGAGACAGATAGTGGGGTTCAGCTTGAAGGTCAGAAAAGCAAAACAGTCACTGTCTCTTACCTCGACCTCAGTCTGAAATGGTGATCCTGCCTCCAGGAATCCTCAGAATGAGTCTGCCTGAGAGCTGTCTCCTTCTGTCTTATATTCCTCACTAGTGCTTGGATTAAAGATGTGCACCACTACTACCTGGTTTCTATGGCAAACTAGTGTGGCTACTGGGATGAAAGGTGAGTGTTTGGTCTGTAAGGTTGACCAGAGTGGCTGTTTTACTTTCTGATCTTCAGGCAAGTTTTATTTATTAAAAATACAAATGAAATATCACTATACCCTAATATACCCAGTCTAAATTTGAATTTCCCTGTAGTCAGATGTATGCATATGTATTTAGGTATATGTATTAGTTATGTTTCTATTGCTATGATACAACACCATAACCAAGGCTGATTCTTCAGCCACAGCTGACCAGAACCACAGATTTTTTTTTTTTAGATTCAAGATGTCACATGATTGGCCCTTGTTGAGTTTGTGCTGTGCTTCCCTTTGAAACTTCACCAGCCAGGCCTCCTTAGTCTGTATTGCTCTCAGCATTATCTCCTAAGTTCCTACAATAGATCATTAAGTTCAGCACTCAAGGAAAGGCTTTTCCAGCCCAAAGCTCTACAACCATCCCCCAAGCACCAGGTCCACAACCACCCCCCAAGCACCATGGTCAGGTTTGTTACCGCAACATCCAGTGAAACTGGTACCATTTTTTTCTTTGGTTTCTATTGCTATGATAGAACACTATAACCAAAAGCAACTTGGGGAGGAAAGGGTTTATTGGCCTTACATATCCTGGGTCACACTCCCTTAAAGGAAGTCAATGCAGGAACTTAAGGCAGGAACTTAAGCAGAAGCCACCACAGATCACTGCTTACTGGCTCGATCCCCATGGCTTTCTCAGCCTGCTCTCTTTCTCATCGGCCCAAGGGTAGCACAACCCATATGGACCCTCACACGTCAATCATTGACCAAGAAAATGATTCACAGACTTGCCCACAGGCCAACTGATGAAGGGATTGTCTCAGTTGAGGTCCCTTTTCCTAGGAAAACCTAGCTCGTATGAAGTTGACAAAATTCCGTACAAGACAGGTGTTTAAGTTTTAGGATGAGGGACCTAGCTGGAGGAACCAGGTCACTGGAGAGCATTGCTGAAGGTGTATTTTGTCCTTGGCCCCTCCTGTCTGCCAGGAGATACGCTACAGAGGGCACAAGTGCTCACAGATAAGGACTGGAGAAACCAGGAACGTCAATCTCTCAGGGCTGTCTCCTCAAAGGAGCACGTGTATACCCGTTTCCCACCCAGAGTGCTGGGAGTGGATGTTGTTAATCTCCACTTTTGCTATCTGTAGGGCCAGGCCTCATCCAGATCCCTCAAAATGTTTATCCCACTCCCTTCCTCACTACGTCATCTTTGCTTCAGTCAACAGAACCCATCTGTAGGGGAGACATCACATGTAATTCATAGCCTGCTGACTTCCACACTATCTCCATCAGAGACCATGACAGATTCTAAGCCCTTAAGATACAGAAGCCATCTCCATGGTAGAGGACACATGTATGTTGCTAAAGAGTTTTGATGTAGTCATGGTTTAAGCTTTATTGTGCACATGGGATTGGGATAATAGCTACCAGGAAACATTTTTCCAAAATTGCACTATACTTAAATATGTCTAAAACAACCTTGCCTGGTGTCAGACTCACGCTAAACCGAGTTTCCTTTTCACCTCAGTGGTTACTTTCTCTACCAGCAGTAGAGCTAGCAGAGATCCTCAGAATGAAGAGATTTGTTCCTCTGTGCACTCCCGGGCTTGATGTTCTGTCTTCCGTGGGTGTGGAAACAACAGACCAAGTGACTATGGACCCAGACAGGTATTTCTTTCTGAGTTGACTTTTCTCAGGGGTTCTGTCCCAGTGCTGGGATGTTGACTAACAGGATGTAAATCAGTATGGCTACCACGGAGAACAGTATGTAGAGGCTCCTTAAGATGCTATAAACATGGGGGTTGGGGAGATGGATCTGGAACACAAGGACTACAGTTCAGATCCTCAGCACCATATAAAAAGAGCTGGGCAGGCACCCCATAATCCCAGTGCTTAGAAGCTGAAGACAGAAGACCCTTGGGATAAGCTATCTAGAACAACTGAATCTGCAAGCTGCAGGTTTAGCAAAAGACCCAGTGTCAGTAAAAGGTGGACAGTCACTGAGGCAGAGATCCAATGTCAACTTGTCCTCCGCATGAGTGTGCCGTTTGTGTATGCACACACTCAAACACTTATATTTACACATGTGAACACACACACCCACACCCCTAAAAATGGATCTTCCAGATAATCCATCAACCCCATTTCTGGAGATAGAACCAAAGGAAGGGAAATGGTGCCAGAGATAACTGCCTGCCGTATTTATTGCGACACAATCCACAGAGGCTAATAAATCCACATAGATGTTACTCCGGATATCAGTCTTGATGCCATTTGTCTAAGGGTTTCTATCGCTGTGAAGAGATACCACGACCACGGCAACTCTTATAAGGGAAAACATTTAATTGGGGTGGCTCGCTTACAGTTTCAGAGGTTCAGTCCATTATCATCACGGCAGGGAGCATGGTGGCGTGCAGGCAGACATGGTTCTGAAGAACTAGCTGAGAGTCCTCCATCTCGCAGAAACCAGGAAGTGGACTGAGACCCAGAGTGATGCTTAAACAAAAGACCTCGAAACCTGCCCCACAGCGACACACAGGGACAACACATCCACAGTGACACACTTCTTCCAACAAGACCACACCTCCCAATGGTGCCACTTCCTTTGGGGGCCATCTGCTTTTAAATCACCACACCTTCAACAGACGAATACAGAAAATATGATACATACAGACAAATGTGTTATATGGCCATTAAGCAGAATTAAATACTGTTATTTGCAGTGTGATGTATGGAAATGGATCTGGAAAATATCACGTTAAGCGAAATAGCACAGAAAGACAAGAACTGAGTGTTTTTTTCTCACGTGCGGACCTAGAGACTTACCGAAGGTAGAATCAACAGACGCTGGAAAGAGTGGGGAGCAAGGAGAAAAGGCAGCTTTTGACCACAGCATGCTCTGTGCACGTAGGGAAACACTAGTGAGTTCGTGCACAAAATTACTGCGTGCTAATGACAATTTAAAAGCTTACATTATAATAAAAAGTGGTTTTAAAACGAGCCTCGGCAGAGCTCGAGAACATAGACTTGATTTCTCTTCAATGCCCTTCAATTTAACAATGCAGGGGACTCACTACGGGGAGGAATTCGGCTAGATGCTGCCTGCTCAGGAACAACCTTAACAGCTGGGGACAAAATCGAACGGGAGCAGTTATTGGCTGGAAGTCAAGCTCTGGCTTTTTCACATCTAAGATGACAGTTATGACGGTGGCAGACGGAGCCAGTCCTGGGGGAAGTGTTAATTGAGGCCAGTAACACTCTTCATTACTTCAAACCCCACTCAGCAGACTGGGAGAGAGATCGATTTGTGCAATTCCACAACAGTCAGGGTGAAGTGAGGGTGAGCCACTATTTTTCTGTTTAGCTTGCAGGACTTTCACATGGGTTTGCTTCCTAATTTGAGAATCCCGTACTCTGCCGCAGTGCTAGGAGCTGAGGCCAGGGCGTGCTGCGAGCACTCCAGCTCTGGGCTGCATGTCTAGCCCTCTTCGAGACTCTCAATGCTGCGGCGAATCTCTCAGCTCCACTGCTCTACTTGGGAAGAGACGTTTTCTCTTGGAGTGAAAATGTCAATCTCATTTCTTGCTTTTCAAATAAAAGCGCCTGAATGTGCTTTGTTCAGCTTTTGGATTTTAAGTTGGACACCTGTACCAATCACTTAGAAAGAACAAATTCGTTTAGATTCTATTAATATCACTGGAATAGGAATCTTACAAATGTGCGTGCGCACGTGTGTGTGTGTGTGTGTGTGTGTGTGGTCCGTGTGTACATGGCAGGGACAAGCTGCAGGAGTTTCTTCCTTCCACCACGCAGGTCGGTGACTGAACTCAGGTTGTCACAGTTGGCAACAGGGACCTTTACCAACTGAACTATCTCTCTGACCTCCTCAGTAGGGAATTTTTCAAAGGAGAATTTAAGAATTAATTTGTGTGTGAAATATTAATGTATGATAGAAACAAATCGAGATTCAATACTGGAAGTTAAGAGGGTCCTGCAGCCTCATGCAGCCCAGGCTGGTCTTGAATTCACCATGTCTTTGAAGCTGTTGAATTTCCGATGCTCCTGCCCCAACCTCTCCAGTACTGGGATTACCGGCATGCGCTATCCTACTTGGCAGTTTTCTTATTGTTCTTTTAAATGTGACAGCCTCGCATCATTCATAAACTTTGAATATCTTTTTTGAAAGAAAAGATTAAAAACTAAGGTCTAGATTCAACATGATTGGCAGCTCAATGGGGAGCTAATCCCACCCCCCTCACTGCTGTATTTTACCTGAATGAAGAACTAACACAGGCAGAATTTCCAAAGTATTTTATTCAAAATTCCCCATCTAGGAGAAAGGATATATAACAGTGTTTACACATGCTGCAATAACTTATTTCACTGTACAACTTACATTCTCTGTAACAACACAGTAAACCCGTGAAAGAAAACAATTAGCACTTAAAGAAGACTCCTGTGTGCAGCAATGAGTGCGGGACACTAAAAGGTGGGATCTATACATTTCACCACAACTGAGCGGCTTGGAGTTTGGAGTTCATAAGCCAGCCTGGTCAGTGCGTGTTTAAAAATTGAGATGTCTACACTTTTCTGATTTGTAATATCAAAACCACTCTGACCTTTCAGAATAGAACTTTTTTTTCTTGATGAATTTGGTGGGTGAAGAAAGAACTTTATTTTCATCCCTTTTGTAAAAAATAAATATATTCTCCCTTTTATGTTAATCCACAGTTTTAAATAAGATACTACTTGTGTTTATTCATACCTATGCTAACACTGCTCGGGCACAGGGCTCTGCTAATCAGCATTTCACAACCAGCAAGACGCTCAAACATTACAGGAACAAAAAGAGACCACAGAGTTTGCCATAATAGCACCTAGAAAAATAGCACTGGGGGCAAATTTCTCCTGCTGTTCTTGTGATGCAGGCAACATGGCAAACACCACAGAATACAGACAGAAAACGGAAGGAACGAGGAGAGAAGCTTTCCTGACCTTGAGAGAAGATCTTATAGCAAACATATTCTGACGGATTTTACAGGGACTTCTAAGCCAGGCACATGGCAGACTGTGCACAGCGTAGTCAGATGGGGACGACTGAGCAGTGAAATCTGACCCTCCGCCAAGAAATTATATTTCCAAGACTGGGAAAGGCACAGGAGGTGCACATTTTAATTTGGCTCAAAAAATAATGAAAATTAGCTTTAAACTGTTGGCAACAATTACAAAAACAAAAATGTCACTTCCTTTGACAAAATTACAACAATAAACCAACAAAAGCACACCACGGTTCACGATAGCTGGTGAGCACACACGACTGCATGGTGTTTCTCACAGACTGCATCTGAAGGACGAAGTCTATAAAGGAAGGTCTAACACTTGATGTCACCCAAAGCTCTGCTTTATCAACGCCTTCTTCCAAAACTAACCCGTAGTCAAGCTAAGTTCCTTTCTGTGAAACTGAAAACTTCCAAGGTTCTAATTTTCAGTTGTTGCAGAAGCATGTAATCCTACACACGCGGGGACACTGAGGGACAGAAAGTCAACTTACACTGTGTCTGTAAAAGTTAACTAGGGTTTCACTGTGATACACGTAAACCATGAGTCATAAGATTCAAAAACAACAGCAGTTATATCAAGTTTATATCCTACCATTCATATCTTTAAAAGACAGCAATAGTATTTAGGATAACCGTAAACATAAGTCCCTAAGAGAGTACATCTATTCTAGGAAAAGAGACATTCACTGTAACGCTGCACCGAACGCCCCTGTGCAGACCTCTAGTGACAAGTGTAGTGTGACTACCTCCAGAGCACAGCTGGAGGAAGGGCGTGTTCACACCTCGGAGCTACTGCAACGGCATGCCTGGCCGTGATGAGACAGACACGGCAAACCACAAGTTTAAAAAGTCATTAGAACATCACGTTCTTGTACACTAGTGTAGAAAGGTCTCCCAAAGATGAAAGAGTGTAGGCCTGGCTTAATTTTCTCAGCTAGAGCCATTATTATGTTAAGATCGCCCTCTGCTGTTAAATCAAGATCTATCTTCAAGTTCCGAAGAGACTTAAAGGGCTTTTTCCCCTTCTGCCTATAAATAAAACAAAACAAACAAACAAAGAAACCAAACATTATAATACAGACATTGCTCAAAGGGAGTGAAACAGAGACTCACAATGCATAGAGGTTTTCTGCAGAGGAGCTGACTCACGTGTCGTCCTCTATGTACTTGATTAGCGTCAAGGCTTTTCTGTGGAGAACAAGCAGGAACTGTGCGAGGAAGGTGCTCCTGAGAGACAGCCCAGGCTTCAGGTGGAAGACCTGCAGGGACACCAGACAATACAGTTCCGATACATTTGTATGTGGCAGCTTCCACGACGACGCTGACAGCATCTGACACCCGTCACCCAGTACAACCACTTCTTCAGATTCCCAAAGGGCAGCACCGTGGCAATGGCGATGGTCTGGAAACACTGACACTTGACAAGATTTCCGATTTTACTGCTCAAAATGCACTGTAGATTTTGCATTCTACACCAAAATATATCCTTATTTTATTATGAGAAATCCTTCTGTGAATTGTTTCGGGTTGTGTGAAGTGAGGATGAAGGGAATTTCATTTCAGCTTCAGGAACGTGAAATTGCTCGACTACGGATGATCCTCTAACTCGGCACTGTCACCCGTCACACAGACCCGGATCCAGACCTAGCCCTGGTTAACATGAGGATCTCATTATCTAAGCCGGGTCTGGGATACAGGGCCTTGGCCTGGCTCCCAGAATGGTACTGTAACAAAGCTCTAGTTACAGTTAGAAACAAGTCCCATGCAATCATCCTCCTTTCCAAATGTGTAACTCAGAAGAACATTTTAGAACTGAGACAAAAGAGATGCCACGATTTAAACACACATCTACTAAGCTTTGATAACATTTTCAATTCAATTAAGGCAAATAAAAGCACACCCCTCTTCAATGAAAAACCCCTTTAAGGTATAGATAGGGCAGTAGTTAAAACAATTACTGGGATGGGGAATGCTGTTTTTTTAACTGTTAATATACAGGCTATTTCCCATTAATAATTCAAAGGCAACTTCACTTACAGACTTCAGAAAGGGCTATAAACACTTTAGTTCTTTGTATGTATTTTGTAGACATGGTGGGACATAATTTAAAAGAAAACTTGCAATATCACTTCCTCTGGCCATGGCTGGTGTCATGTTTACCTGGTCCAGGAAGGCTTTCACTAGAGTATCTCTGTGTAAGACATCTTGGAAAATATTCCTAAGAAGAAAACAGTCCAAACATTAATGGTTATACAGAGTCAATTTCCATAACCTCTCACTCAAGTCAAAAAATTAATGTTTCATAAACAGATATGTAAGAATACAGATGTGAATATTTGGAATGTATACTTAGCTTGCATGAGCCCCCTGGGTTTAATATTCAGTACACACAAAATGAACACACACACACACACACACAGATACATTTAAACTCAAGGGAACATTTGTCCATTACTGGTGGTTTTTTCTAGCCAGCATAAGCTGAGTATACCCCAGGAAGTGCACATGCCTATCTGTCAATGAGTTTTAGAACCCATCCCTTACAAACTGGGCTTATGTCAAGAGACTCACTACCTGTAAACATGAGCCAGCATCCCAGTAAGTTACTACCTCAGCAATGGCTGGCATGTAAACTGCAGACAAAATGGCCAGTTGAAGTGAGCTGTGTCAGCCTGATCAGAGCAGATGCTAACAGAGAAGACTGTTTTTTCTCAGACCCCATTTCCTTTCATTGTTTCTCTTCCATTTTCCCTAGGCTACTGTATTCATGTCGAGTGAAAGTGTAACGTTTATTATGACAGGATGGATGAAAAGCAAGATCGAGATAGTAGAGATCATAATATGCCTGGATAGGAAGCGAGAGCAGGAGGGGAATACGCAGAAGTAAGTGGGAAGCACTGCAGGTTTCTTAGTCTTACGAGACGAGTGAACCAAGCTAGAGAGAGAAACCAAGAAGGGGGAGCCAGGATTTCATAGCAGCACTGGGCACCAACAGCACCGTCACTGGGCTTCATGGACAGGTTAGGGCTCTGGGCCCCCATTTTCCAATTTCTATTTTACTGAATAAAAATCTGGATCACTAAAGAGCTGGAAAAGCAAAGACTATCTCCAGGGCAAAATATAACTTCCTGGTTGGAAATATTTTGACAATTTTATATTCGAAACATTTACTTAGAACTGGAAATAAAATTCTAAAATCATGACATTATTTTATCATGTTAGAATAGCTGACCAATTGCTTTTGTCAAATCTGCCAAACAAACATTCAAAAACAAAAACACGAACAGGCTGCAGATCTATTTATGTCCACATTTTTCTGAGAAGAGATTCTAAACAATCAAATAAAAAACAAAACAAAACAAGACAAAACAAAAAACAGGACCTTGGGCCCATTAGTTATGAGAAAGACGCTGGCACGCGGACTCAGTGAGAAGAGTTGCACGTTTTCCAAGACTGCCAGTATGTGAACTAGTGAAAGGGAATTCAAGCCGGGCGGTGGTGGCGCACGCCTTTAATCCCAGCACTCAGGAGGCAGAGGCAGGCGGATCTCTGTGAGTTCGAGACCAGCCTGGTCTACAAGAGCTAGTTCCAGGACAGGCTCCAAAACCACAGAGAAACCCTGTCTCCCTTTTCTGAAGCAATTCCTGTAACCTTTCAAAGCAATCCAAAGAGCACAGGAGAGCTAAAAGGGTTCATCTACGTGTTAAGAGCTCTGGGCATGATGCTCTCATCTGTGCAGTTTACTGTGGCTACTGGTGCGCCCCATGTTTCTCTTTTGGCTGTTTTCTTCTTCAGAGACATAAGATATACCAAACAGTAAATCTGCTCCAAATTTGCTGTTGCCTAAAACCCTTCAACCCACATAATCACAGTAAACATATTTTGAGTATATTCTAAGGACTATCCCGATTTTAAGCACTTCATTGATTCAAGAGAACAGAAATACCATATTGCAATTCTTTTTCAGGATTTAGAACATCATTTAAATACTTTTTTGAAGTTTTGAAATTCAAGATGATAATTTTTATTGTAATCAATAATTATTTCCTTTACTTGGCTGACTACATTTTCTGGTAAGAAATAAGAAATAAGTAGCAAAATGTACAAAGCAAAGGAAACAGGTGCTTTTTTCCCCCATATATATCAGCTGTTTTTTTTTCTAGGTTTTATATTCATATCTAAGAAAAAAGGCTTAGAACTACCGCAGCTTAGGATACAAGAATGTTCAAGGATCATTATATACTAAATTACCAGCAGGGCTGCCATTTTCTGACTGATCCTTCTTACCCCGGCAATTCACTAAGTAACTAGGAGTTCAGTACATATTTACCAAGTGTAGCAAGCAGCATAGAGTCACACCTGATGGAGATGTATAATCAACTCCTGAGATGGCTAAGGCCTGACCTATGCTATGATCACGCAATGATTATCAGCTGCCTGCATATGCGTGAACCTATGGGCAGTGCCCACCTGGCAGTTCGGGGTTGGCAGCCCATGCCTGCTTAAGGGCTGGGAGAGGTTTGCCAGGGGAGAGGGGAGAGAGGTCAGAGAGAGAAGAGAGGGAGAGAGAAAGAGAAGGAGAAGGAGATAGATTGCTGTGAATAAAGTCCTGAAAACTGCTGCAAGAAGAGCTCCGGGTGTTGTGTTTTTCCTTGCTGGTAGAGGGTGGACGTGACAACCAAGTGTTTAATTTTTGAGGAAATCTTAATCTGTATTACAGGAAATAATATTTTAAGAAATGAAGATTTAAGCCAGGTGTGGTGGTACACACCTTTAATCTTAGAACTTGGGAGGCAGAGGCAGGTGAATCTCTGTGAGATTGGGGCTAGCCTGGTCTATCTAGTGAGTTCCAGGCCAGTTCCAGTAAGTTCTCAGTGGGCCATATAGATCTCCCCAGTGAGACTGTCTAAAAATAATAATAAATATTTAAAAATAAAGAAAATGTGGCTGATTAAATGCTTCTTCAGGCATCATTATGCTTGTCACGTCTTTCCTTTTAAGTACAACTTGCACTGTTTTTACCCGTAAATGACAAAAAGTTTATGTTGTTTGACAATGACGCCCAAGACCAAGTGTCACTTACAAATCAGGGGTGAAGCTCTCATCCGTGTAGATGATGGTGTCCTGAGCCATGTCCTCTTCTGAAGTTGCCCTCCAGAAGGCCGTCAGCTCCGATCTCATGTACCTGCGTTGATTGTAGATGTGCTCGTGACACGGTGGCATCTGCTTGACGGTATTGACATCCACGTCAATGTGCGTGGTGGGGTACGGGGCATACATCACTTGCCGGAAGGGCAGTACAAAGCTTCCCGTTGCATCCTGTCAAAACGAAGAGAAAGCTTACTGGCCACATGCCAAGTGAGAAGCCATTTTAAAAATAAGGTAATAATGATAATGGAGATGCATCCCCCTGCACATCTGGTATAAGGCCCTCTCAGAAACAACATTCAAGAGGTTACTATATAAAACTCCAGTCACTACAGTTTGTGCTTATAGTGAAGTGAAAGGAGTGTACAGTGCACCATTTAAGAAGTGGGTCAGAACATGCCAAGTGTAATCCAACAGCAGAGCGTGGCACAGAATACACACAGAAGAAAACGGCTACAAAGACCAGTGCCAATCGTTAACGGTGATTACTTGCTGGTCTTTTTATCCTTCCTGTATCTAAATGACTATGTACATAAATAGGAAAATACTTGCCCCTTTCTAGCTGGCCGGGCAGCCAGTTACCATGTAACTTAACCGCTGTGTATGTGATAACATGCTAAGAGGTGTGAACTAACAGAAGATAGAGACTGCCTAAGCCTTTCACTCTGAAAAGGCTAGGATAATGACTGTCTCCCAAGGTATCTCTGGAAAGCTCTAGAGCTTAGCTTTGCTTGGTGAGCTCTCAGTGTTTCACTCAGTCAGGCTTTGCATTCCCCTGGGCACGTGGCACAGAGGCTCTGTCAGAAGTTACAGTACATAACTGAACAGGGGAACTTCATTGTGCCGTTACAGAAAATTGGTAAAATTGGGATTTGTAAAGTTTTCTTCAGTTCTGAGCTCATGGCAGGTGCATGATTTGAAACCCAAAAGCTGATTTTCATTTTGGGGGTGAAAATGGAGATTGAAGTCAGGACCTTCAATTTTCTAAGTCAGGAGTTCTCAACCTTTGGGGGTTGGGATCCTTTCACAGGGTTCGCGTATCAGATATCTTGATATCAGATATTTACATTACAATTCATAATAGTAGCAAAATTATAGTTAGGAAATAGAAATGAAAATAATTTTATGATTGGGGGGTCACCATATTTGAGTCAACAAATCCCCTTTATTTGTTACATTTAATTTTTAAATAAATATAATCCTAACACTCAGGAAGTTGAGGCAGGTGGATTACTGTGAGTTTAAGGCTAGTCTAATTTTAGACCAACTTGACACAAGCTAGAGTTATTAGAGGGGTTGGGTCAACAGAGAAAATGCCTCTGTAATACTGGGCGATAGGCAAGCCTGCTGGCATTTTTTTAAAAAAGAGATCCTGAGGGAGAGGCCAGTCCACTGTAGGTGGGGCCACCCTTGGGCTGGGAGCCCCGACTTCTATAAAGAAACAGGCTCAGTGAGCTATGGAGAGCAGGCCATTAAGAAGCATTCTTCCATGGCCTCTGCATCAGCAGCTGCCTCCGGGTTCCTGCCCGGCAGGAGCTCCTGTCCTGACTTCCTTTGGTGATGAACTGCAATGCGGAAGAATAAGCTAAGTAAGTCCGTTTCTCAAAGTGGCTTTGGTCATGGTGTTTCCTCACAGTAGTAGTAACCCTAACTAGGACAGAAGTTGGTACCAGGAAGTCACAATTACAGTGCCAATTAAGTGGTATCAGCCTGAACGGCTGGGACAGGGTTCCCCAGAAGGTGGGAGATGCTTTGAATTAGTGTCCGATATATGGTAGTTTCTCCCGCTAGTGAGGATCCACAGGTCCAGGAAACAAGGGATAGAAAAGAGAATATTTCCATCCACTATCACCCCTAATGAACCACTAGGAATTCTTTGCTTCCTGTTTCTGTGACCTTAAGTTCTGTTGGCCTGGCAGTTTTGGTTACTGAGGGAGTGCTCCTGCCAGGAGACACAATGAACACGCCACTCAACTGGAAGCCAGATTCTCCGGACCACTCTGGGCTTCTAATGCCCTTAAGTCATCAGGCTGAAAAGGAATAACAGTGCTAGGAGGGTGGGCTGCTCCAGATTACCACAGAGAAATTGGATTGCTTCTCCACAATGGAGGTAAGGAGGATTATGTCTGGAGTGCAGGAGATCCTTCAGCGTGGCTCTTGGTGCTACCATGTCCTGTGATGGAAGCTAATGGGAAACTACCACAGCCTAATCCAGGCAGGATGTTTCCTTTCCTCCATGTCTTTATAATGTCATATAACACCAATTAAGAGAATATCAATGGTTATCAAGTTTGAGACACTACAAGAATGTCCCTCATGGAACATTGCCATCTCTTCTAAATTTATGTTTACCGCTGTATGAGGGATAATAATAATAATGCATTTCTGATTGTATGTGGGATGGTTATATCATGTTTAGGTTGTTATGACCTGGTTATTGTTTTTATATGGAAATTAATCATGAGGAGATATGGTTGTGTGTCAAGTTGACAAGGGGTGAACTTGTGATGGATACTTTTGGTTGTTAATTTGATTACATCTGGAACTAAAATCCAAAAATGGAGGCACACCTGTGGGGTATTTTTGCTTAACTTAAAGTAACTTCTAATCCGAATCTTTGAGGTAAGAAGATATGCCTTAATTCAGATCATTTGAACTAGGAAAAAACATGCCATTTAAGGCCATTTAAAAATTTAATTCCTCCCCCAAATTAATACATTTTAAAATACATTTAATCCAGATCTTTAATCCAGCTCTAATCTGAGCCACACCTTCTGCTGGAAGCCTATAAAGGACTTGGAAGATGGAAGCTTTTGCTCTCTGCCTGCTAGCAAGTTCATTCCTTCACCGGCCTTAGAGCCTGCTTCTATGGGATTCCAGTGTGTACTGAAGACCAGCTGAAACATCCAGCCTCATGGACTGAGAAACTTCTAGATTCTTGGCTTTCTATTCACAGCCCTCTATTGTGGACTAGCTGGACTGCACCCATAAGTCATTCTAATAAATTCCATATAGATAGATAGATAGATAGATAGATAGATAGATAGACAGACAGACAGAGAGATAGAAAGATAGATATAGAGAGACATTGAGATTAATCCTATAAGTTTTGCTACCCTAGAGATCCTTGACTAATACCCATCCACCCATCCATCCATCCACCCAATCAACACAGAGCAATTGTATTTGCAGGGCACAGTGTGACATTTCAACACAGGTATACAAAGTGTATGATTTACTCACGATGTCATACCTATCACCCCTGAAAGTTATCATTTCCTTTTGCAAGGAACATTAAAAATACCCCATATGAGATATTTTAAAAAATAAAACTGGAGTTGAGGCAACGGTTCAGTGGACAAACTACTAATTGCTGTACAAACAGGAGGCCCCAACCTATGTGAGGATCCTTAGTATATCTATAACAGCCGCTGCAACAGCCTGTGCCTATAACCCAATGTGGGGGTGTATGTGTGGGCAGGCAGATGTCAGGACCTCACGACCCAGCTAGTCTAGTCAGTCATCCCAGGTTCTGTGAGAAACTCTGCCTAAAAAACACAGTGGAGAGTGATAGAGTCGGACACCCTATATCAACCACTATCCTGCACGTTTCTCCCCCTCTTTCCACCTCTCTCTCCTAAATAGAAAAATACAGTTGACTGTCATAATTTTTCCATTTTGCTATGCTTACATCCTCAAGAACAACTATGAAAGAACCCTGCAGTGATCATGAAAAGCTATTTCTTTCTGGTTTTGTGTGTGTGTGTGTGTGTGTGTGTATGTATATAGGCGTGTTTATACACACACACATCTATGGATATAAGCGTGGTACACATTCATGTGTATATGAGTGTTCATGTGTTGAGTATATGTGTGAATGCATGCGCACATGTATGCTTATATGCCTGAATGTGGAAAACTGAGGTTGATGTCTGGAATTTTCTATGGTTACTCTTGCACCTTATTTTTTTTTTTTTAGGTAGGGTCTTTCAACCAAATCCAGAGCTTCCTGGAAAAACAGTTATTTCTACTTCATTACTGAGAAAAGTGCTAATTTATATTTATCTGTTTTCCTTCTTGAAAATGAACCAAATTTAATACAAAAAATAAAAATAGGGCTGAAGAGATGGCTCAGCGGTTAAAAGTATTGCCTGCTCTTCCAAAGGTCCTGAGTTTAATTCCCAGCAACCACATGGTGGCTTACAACCATCTGTGGTGAGGTTTGCTGCCCTCTTCTGGCCTGCAGATATACACACAGACAGAATATTGTATATATAATAAATAAATATTTTTAAAAAAATGTAAGTACTAGAAACAGACATTTTGCATAAGCTTTAAAAGACATTTTAATTTTTAAAAATGAGCAAGTATGTACATATGGTACATATCCAAATCTCCTCAGTAAGAAAAGAAACATTACCATTTCAGAGGCTCAGTCTGATTCAAGCATATATTTAAAAAGAAAATACTGAGGCCAGACACATAGCTAGAGGGAACCAAGTGAAACAGAAACACTATCCCACGGGGCTTCATGGACGACACTAACTACAGAGTCAAGGACATACACTCCGTGCTCAGAACTACTAAAGAAACCCGTTCTCAGACAACAAAAACTATGCTACATTAAATGCTAACAACATGCCTTACAAAGATTCTCAGTACTTATTCCTAAAGTTCACTTTTACTTATAGCTTCACAGGTGATAAGGCACGGCAAGCACACCTTTAGCAGGCCTTGGACAAAGAGTCCCGATTCGTACTTAAAGGATGCGTCTGCTTCACATAGCCTGGAGCATTTCCTCTCGGCTGGAGTCAGAAAAAGGCACAACGTTCTCACTATCTAGAGAAGAAAAGATTTGGCGTTGAAATGTGAAGTTAAAAGACCACTGTTTGTTTATGGGAGAAACTTTAAATAGAAATTTTTGTTGCTGCCACTAAAACAGTTCCCAAGTAAGGAGCATCCCTTGCTTACCTGAACAGGCATGGTCAGAACACGTACTGCTTACAGAGGGATTCTGTGGCCAGTTAAGTTTAGGAAGTAGTTGGTAAATCAACTGCATCTCAAAACTGGTTACATTTGAATAACTATGGTTGTTCTCTAAGTGAGCAATATTCATTTATAAATTTAACTATATCAAATTGATTTGACCATGGAACCTTTATCTCAGTGAGAAATAACAACCTAATACATTAACTGACTTCACCTCCACCCATCAACAACCACTTTTCAAGTGAGCACTGGGAAACTCATTTCATGCGTTTAAATGAGGGCAGCACCCTGTGATGCGAACGGACAAACTCGGTTACAATGAACAAGAGGGACTTCCACACCTTCCACAGAAAGAACTACTAAATTTCACTTGAAACAACTGCAAGTGGTGGGGGTTTAGAAGTCGGGCACAGCAAGAAGAGCTGGCTTAGGGCTGTATTAGGGGACAGAAGAAAGCCAGGTAAGCGCGACTATGTGGGACTTGGACCACATCCAGAGACAGTTTGGGTTTTCAACTAGAGTAGTGCAACTTGTCTCTCAAAATGAAAAGATGGAACACAAGCTATTCACCTAAAAGAAGATGAAAAATGAAAAAAAAATTGATAAGTGAAGCCCAAACCATAGAGCCTTTCCCTTCATAACGCCAATCAAGATGTCTGCCCCGTGGAACTTAAGGCTTCCAGCATCTCAAGTGGAAAGCTACTTTTGGGGTCACACGTAACAGCCCCAAATGCCTTGATAAAATATAATGAGAGATTTATTATTCTCTCATAAACGGTTGAATGAGAAACATAAATGTGGCAAATTAAACTTCATATAAGTACACAGGATGGTTCAAAAAAAAAAAAAACCCGATAACTCTATAAAGCAAATGCCATCCCTAACATGTAAAATTTTTGAAAACGAAATGAAGTTTGTTACAATTAATATAAATATATATTTATGTACCTTTAGTGACTATAAAGATAGCTGCATACTTTTAGCACTAACCTTGAGGAAATATCTGATCACTTATCTTAGAATTCTCCCTACATGTGTGTCTTTTTTTAGGGAGCTACCCTGAAAACGTAGACACACCTACATCCAAGCTGTTCAATTCTGTTCAATGCTATCTTTCCTATAACTTTCCTGTCAACAGGAAAATTGTTTCTGTGTTCCCCATTATGCCCACAGTAATAACCTCATATATTTTGCACATCACCTCCAGAAGCTGAATGAATTATTTAACTTCCTCTTTTATATTATCTATCTTTGGATTCTCTCAAATATTTGTCCTAAAATTTATGTGCTCACTCTCTACTTCCTGATTCTATTTACCAATACAGTTTCCTAGTTGCTCACATACCCTGTAACAAATGGTTTAGTAGGTAAAGTCATACAGGAATACAAAACTAGATATTGAAAAGTATCTCATTTAAAGGCCAGGCAAGGTAGTGCAGACTCTAATCTCAGTATTTGGGAAGAAGAGGCGAGTGAACTGTGAGGAGTTTGAGACTAGCCTGGCTTACAGCCCAGACTATACAGTGAGACTCTATTGCAAAAAACAACAAAGCATAAACAAAAAAACTCATTTAAAGGTTTTTTTCTCAAAACAATTTATGATACAACTAAGAGTGATGAATTATCAAAATTAAAGTGGTAACTGAATTCTTACACATTTTACCATAGTCATTTTTGTTAGAGGTATCAGAGTAATTTGGTAAAATTACATTGCCTCCTTATACTATAAGGCTATTTCAATTGCAAGCTAGTATTTGAACGATAATTCATGAGGTGCTAGTAGTGTTAAGTCCGATCTTATCTGCACTACAAAAGGAGTTACCTTATTTACTTTCTCAGCACTGCTGCCTACGACGACGGAACAGCCGCAGGTCTGCAGATGTGAGCTGATGGCACTGCGGGTAAATGAAAACATCACAGGATGACAACTCCACAAGGAGAAAACCAGTGAGCTTCCAACAGCACACAACAGCCTTACCTACAAACACCAAAGCTATCACTAAAATGTCATCTTTTATTTGTGCAAAACTGCATTTTCTAGGGGCCTTTCACAGACTTCTTATTACCTGAATCTTAAGACAACCCAGGGCTGGAGAGCACTTGCTGCTTTTGTAGAGAAGATCCAGCACCCAAATGGTGACTCACAACTATCTACTTCCAAGGAACCCAAAGCCCTCTTCTGGCCTTCGCAGGTACCAGGCACAGGTATACATGTGCTCATACAGGTACTCATGCACATAAAATTAAATAAATTTTACAGAATTTTTTTTTTTTTTTTGGTTTTTCGAGAAAGGGTTTCTCTGTGGTTTTGGAGTCTGTCCTGGAACTAGCTCTTGTAGACCAGGCTGGTCTCGAACTCACAGAGATCCGCCTGCCTCTGCCTCCCAAGTGCTGGGATTAAAGGCGTGCACCACCATTGCCCGGCTAACACCATCATTTTATAGTAATTTCTTTAAAAACATATTTGAAAACAACATATGAATGGCTCACACCAGCATATAGTGCTTCCAGTTCAAGCCGGTAAGACCTTTTCTCCTAAAGATGCTCACACCAGGCATTGTGAGCTTAAAGGAAGAGAATGTAGACCTAGAGGTAAATACTTATTTAAAAAAAATACTTGGGGCTGGGGAGATGGCTCAGAGGTTAAGAGCATTGCCTGCTCTTCCAAAGGTCCTGAGTTCAATTCCCAACAACCACATGGTGGCTCATCTGTAATGAGGTCTGGTGCCCTCTTCTGGCCTGCAGGCATACACACAGACAGAATATTGTATACATAATAAAAAAATAAAAAAATACTTATTCGCTTCTCATTTTTACAAACAAATGCTGGTGACAATCTGCAACTTGTGCAGTAAGATCAGCACAGGAGATGGGGCCCAAGTGCCGAACACTCACTACTGCAGATGACACACAGGTGCTCAGGAAGTACAGGCTGTTCCGCCTTTCACCCGTCGCAGAGCAAATACAAATGGAAAGCAGTAGCTATGGTTACGGAGGGACTGATGTGCCTGGCACTGTGCTAAGTGCTTTCTGTGATTCACCTCATTCAGTGCTCACAAGGGACCTATACAACATCTGTTATTGGCAGGCGGTGGAGATGCGTGCCTTTGGTCCCAGCACTCAAGAGGCAGAGGCTGGTGGATCTCAGTGAGTTTGAGGTCAGCCTGGTCTACAGAGCGAGTTCAGGACAGCGAGGACTGTTATATAGAGAAAACTTATCCAGGAAAACAAAACAAAAAATTAGACAAAAAAATAGCTGGTATCACTGTTCACATTTTATAGATAAGAAAGCTGAGGTACACCTTTGGGTGGCTTCACCATGCTGACCCAGTTGTACCCCCCACAGTTGTAACTAGTCTGGTTTGAGAGTTCATGCTCTTTAAGTATTAAATTCCACAGTTAGATAAAAAATACCAGTCCAAAATATGAATGATTTCTATTTCTAACCTACAAAATTCACAAAAACTTATGATGCAACTCAATTTGATAGCTTTCTATGGCTTTTTTTTTTTTTTAATGAGAAATACAAGAAGAAACCAGACCCAAACAACAGGCCAGCACTTCTCTGAGTAGTATGGGAACTCAGCCTTGTTAGACTGCGGAAGAGGTCACATCAGAGATGTCACTGTATGAGTGAACACAGTACACATATGAGCAACAGTTCAAATGTGCAATGCTCTCTCTAAATAATTGGAGTAATAGTATTCTATTCATTTTTTCCATTAAATCTCATCATGGGTGAGAATTAAGATTTTTATCTCCTTTACCAAGCATTCAGAAAAAGAAGTAAAATTCTTACTTGAGCAGAAAGCCTTCATGACAGCTGTCACCAATGTCGTCATCGTTGAGCACTGTATCAGCTATCTAAAAGGCACAGACACACAGTCAGTCTGTTTACAGCAGGGTGAGAGAGCTCGTAGGAGTGAGCGTGCTGACGTCTAGAGTAGACACGACACAGCACTCTCATTATGAGCATCAAGAACACCTATAAAACCGTGCTGTGCACGTACTTTTCAGAAGAACAAAGGGGAAAGTTGGCCAGGCAGGTTAAACAACAATTTTTACAGTGGGCCCCTCTATCAGAATCAGGGGCCCAAGCTCAAGGACAAGTCAGCATTATGAACAGTGTCTAAAGACAGCTACACATGGAAAATGTGTGAATGAAGTATCTTCAACAAGTGATTAAAGAAACTGCTGAATGAGGAGCTGGAGAGATGGCTCAATGCTTAAGAGCACAAGCTGTTCTTCCAGAGGACCTGAGTTCAATTCCCAGCACACACATGGGAGCTCCCAGCCGTTTGTAAGTCCAGTGTCTTAGGGATCTGACACCCTCTTCTGGCCCCCAGGGCACTGTATGCAAATAGCACACAGGCACACATGTAGGGAAAACACCCAAGCACATGAAAAATAAAAAAGAAAATAGAGTAAGAGGCCCCCCTCACAGCTTCATTGGCACACTTCTCTGTCCAAAAGCAATGTATGTAATACCAGTTCCTTCTAGAAAAGCCTGGCACTTCCCCCTCTTCTAGGAAATACAAAATTAAACTTAAGTTTAATTTATCAGAACATGATTGAGTAAAAAAGCCTGTTTGGTCAGAAAAACCAGCATTTTCTGTATGCTTTCTGGTCTGAAGTTGATAGATACTTCATGTGAACAGTAGTACAACAAAATTTACATTATTAAAACAAGAACATTACACACACAGAGACGCACACACACACACACACACACACAATCACTCAAGGGAATCCATAAAGGGTACAGATAGAAGCCGATGGCAGTTACATCTATTTCTTCAGGAACACTGTGTGACTTCATAGATGCAAGCAGCTCCATCACAGGAATGACTTCCCCAGTAAGCATGGGAATGATACTCTGACCCTGTATCAAACATAACAAAGTGAAGGAAATCACTGTGTGGGTGAGCCAAGTAGTGAAACTGTTTCAATGGACGCAGAGAGTAAAATACCCTCCAGGGAACTGCTCAGCACAGCCCCAGACAGGTCTACCACTCCAGAAACAACCGTCAAGTATTTTCATGCTCTTTAAACTTGTTTTCATTCTTTCGGGAATAATTTCCTTTGGTGAGAATGAGCTATTTTTTTTACTATCACAGGCAAGGATTAAACGACAGTGCCACAATTAGGAATGGTCTCCTTTGGAATTTAACTAAGACATAGAAGCTCTTTACATTTTCCTTTTAAAAAGTGAGAATTCAAGCATGAAAAGATGTTGAATCATTAGAAAGGAACCAGAAAGGCTCCTCTCAATATCCAACCTTCTCGTTAAATGACATGATCTCCTCAAATGTATACTAAGTTGCCACACAGAGTAAGAATCAGTAAGATACAGATCTCCGTGGAGAGCTTGCCAGATAGTGCTACCATTTATTGCATCTCGGAAACACTGCTTTAAAATTTCTATTTCCTGGCATCCAGTTGGCGGCGTAACTGTCGTGTGTGACACAGGAGTGACACCACTTAGTTATGACCGTCTCTCCCATCAGCCTTTGGTCACCTAAATGAGATGCTGAAGCTGTCAAGTGTCTGTCCATCTCAGCTAAACATATTTTAAAATTATTAATCACTTATATTTACTTCAGTAAGTTTTCTTCATTCACACAGGTTTCATGAAATGATTATTTAAACCCCTCACATATATTTTAAAGTTAGAACCTGAAATTGAGGGCTGAGGATGATAAACCACTGAGTTAAAGATAAACAGCTGCCTGGCATGGATGAGGCGCTAGGTTTAATCCTCAACATACAAACAAAAATGCATTTTCAAATTCCCTTATCACGGAAGATACTTAATTCCTTTGGGAAATTATCCTAATCTATAAATGTCTATGTAGATATAGACAGTTTTATTATTTCAAAAAAATTCATCTTACAGTGACCTCCAGAATAAACTACTCATGGTTTCTGTTTTTTAGAATAATTGTTGAAACATCTGCTTATAAACACAATTAAGACAATGTACTGAACAATGTATGCTAAACTTCCTTCCCTGTTCAGTGACTTTGTCAGGGGACGGATAGAAGGGCCCTGAGCTGGCGAGGGCTGAAGTTGTTTCTGAGCGCTGTGCCATCCAGAAGCAGTAGCATGACTCATAACAGAGCAGTTGCGAGCACATTACGTCAGCTGCTCAAACAGAAAGCAGAAAGGGGAAGTTTTATGGGCTCAGGCATACATAGTATTCCAGATGTGGCCTCTTGGACATTCATTGTCACTATAAGTGAATGAACAGTCTCACTGGAGAGCAAGAAAAAAACCCTTACAGGACAAATGCGGAAGAAACTGGCTCCCCGTGCTTCTCTAAATTGAACTTCTGCAGGACAATGTTTCCACTTAAAAATCTCTTTAGTTTATTCTCTGTGTACTTTCCTCCCACGGAAGGTGAGGACAACATTTTAAAGTAGAACCCTAAGACCAGAAACTCAACCTAGTAAGTACAGGATTCTGGCTTTCAAAAACAAAATCTCACAAAAATGCAAAATTTTATTTGGTTCTAAATTTCCTGTGTTGAAATGACTCTCCGTAATTACTCCAGAAATACAGTTCAGAGGTCAGTGACAGGAACTTTACTCTTGGAGACCCTCTTACTGATCAGTAAGCAAGTAAAGATTAGACTTTCAATCTTTTAGCGTCAGGTCTTGTCCCAGAATATTTCTTTTTTTGTTTTTGTTTTTGAGAAAGGGTTTCTCTTGTAGCCCTGGCTGCCCTGGAATTTGCTTTGTAGAAAGCTGCCTTTGAGCTCAGAGAATCCCTTGCCTCTGCCTCCCAAGTGCTGGGATTATAGGCCTGTGACACTACCGTCTGGCCCCTGAAAAGTTAGTATTTACCATTCATAATAGTATAACACATAATTTTGTAAAGGTCAATGTGTATATGTGTCTGTGTGTGTTGCTAGGTGTGGTGGTTTGAATAGGAATGGCCTCCAGAGAAGAGTCACATTTGAATGCTTGCTCCATAGGGAGTTGGCACAATTAGGAGGTGTGGCCTTCTGGAGTAAGTGTAGCCTTGTTGGAGGAAGTGTGTCACTGTGGAGGTGGGTTTTGAGGTCTAATATATGCTCATGCCCAGGGTGGCAGAGTCTCCTGCTACCCGCTGATCAAAGAGTATGGTAGTGGCACACACCTTTAATCCCAGCATTCAGGAGGCGGAGGCAGGCAGGTCTCTGAGTTCGAGGCCAGTGTGATCTACAGAGTGAGGTCCAGAATATCCAGTGTTGCACAGAGAAACCCTGTCTGGAAAAAACAGCAAAAAACAAAACCCAAAACAAACAACAACAACAAAAAAGATGTACATAATAAATAAAGAAAAATAAAAAAATACCAACAATATTAAAAAAAAAAAAAGATGTACAAATCTTTGCCTGCATGCCACCCACTGTAATAATAGACTATGTAAGCCAGTCCCAAATAAATGTTCTCCTTTATAATGTTGCTGTGGTCATGGTGTCTCTTCACAGCAACAGAAACCCTAAATAGGACACAAGGGATCCAACTGGGGACCATGCCATAAAGGACAGGTAAATATTCTACTACCATACCCTCAAACCCCCATAAAAATGTGAAACAATTACTTTTTTCAAGTGCCATTCCGTTTCAGTCAAGCTAAGGAAAATGGGACAAAAGGCCACGAGCCATGTTTAACGACTGGAGTTTGAGAAGGAGAAATAATGAGAGTGGGTGGCATGCCAGGGTGATGGGAAGTAGCCCTTTCCTGACGGGGATTCCCCTCCCGACACCCCTCAGGGGAACTTGTCTGCCCCACACTGATAAGGTCTGCAGTGAACTTCTACCGGGGAAGCCATTTCATCACAACCATGTTTTTAAAACTCCACTGTTGGTTCCCTACGGTCATTCAGAGCCACAGGATAAACACAGCATTCCCTAGAGTCAGGGTTACTGGAAGCCTGCGTGGTGAGAGGGCAGAGGATATTACCAGCAAGTTTCATCAATGAAACAGATAACTCTACCAGGGAATAAATATAAATAGTCTGAGTTTTCAAACGGCCAAATAAGCCTTTAAAGAAAACTGCCTGCAGCTGGGTCTGAACCCCTAGATAGACACCTCAGACGCATGCTCACTCCCTTCACACAGCCAGGTCTGGATCTGATGGGGTCCCAGTGCTGAGGGGAAGTAGATGTAAGGCCCCACCCCTATCCCAGAGACTATCTCCAATTGATAACTGCTCACAAATGAAAAATTCACTTTCTCCAGAAGTTTCACTGGATGTGCAAATCAGTCGTAAAGCCAGGCCGCATGCCCAGCAGTAGACGGCCAGCACAAAGCAAAGTCAGTGGCGTCTTTGGAAGTTCTTTGCTCATAATGCCATAGCAGGGCTTTTCCCCCTTTATTACATATTATGGTTTCCAGTTTTGTGTTTTTAGTGGGATTTCTGCATATATAATTGTGTGCGTCTGTGTCTATATGTGATTCTTGAGCTTTTCCTTTTGTTCCTTTTTCTTCTATTTGTTTTTCTTGTCCTAGTCTAGTTTGTTTTTATCTAATTTACTTTATTGTTATTATTACTATTATTATCTTAGAGGCCTATTTATATCCTAACGAGAGAGAGAGAGAGAGAGAATGGGTATGGATCTGGGTGGGCTGACAAGTGGGGGAGGTTCTGGGATGAGTTGAGGGAGGGAAAACTATAAGCAGAATAGATTATATTTTTAAAAATCTATTTTCAATAACTAACTAAATAAATCTCATGTAATTTCTTACTTTTACTATGAGTAAATGATCCCAAACTTATTCTGGTAGATTGAAAAAGGGAATCAAATATTAATTTATAGATATAATTATCTCTTTTTTTCTTTTCAAGTCTTTAGATTTAGGCTGCCGAAATTTTATTCAGTTCATTCTACACAGCTTCACAAGACTTATCCGCTCCCTCTGTCAAGTGAACACATCTTCAGCTCCTTGACGGAAGGACAACCCCCCCCCCTCCTACAGATGTACGCAGTGGGGAGAGGTCATGGCAGCATGTGCAGTGTACTCTACCTGGTCTTCCATTCTTTCTGTGCCTTCCAACACAATTTTCTGGACATTTTCTTGTCTTTCCTAAGAAAAAGAAAATTTACTTTACCATATCCATTTGACGATTGTTTATTTCTCAATGCAGATACGCTGTCATGTGTATTTCACAGGGAAACCCTTTCTACTGCAGGTGGGGAAAAGATGGTGACGAGAAACTATCCCAACAAGTTCAGGCTCTCACACACAACGTAAAATATAATCAAAGCATCTTTAATCCCACAGTAGAGAGATGAGATAACCTGGCAGAGAAGAGTCCACAGAACACCTGCAGCTTCAAAAGAAAACAATTACACACGACTCAAATCAAACGAGATCGACTTGCATCTGAGGAAGAGAGGAATGGCTGTTTCACTTTTGTTTATTCCTGGGACTGAATCTCACGAGGTAGCCTGGGCTGGCAATGAACTCCAGACCTCTTGCCTGAGTCATGAGCCCTGCGATTACTTGCCCGTGCTACTACCTGCAGCTAAGCTTTTCCAATCTGAATGACTCTCATTAAGTATGTCAGAAACAAGGAAGTGGGTCTGCAGCAGGGGTAGAGAAAACCAGTCTTAAAACATGCTATTTCCCCTTCTAATAGGCTAGCGGTCTTATAAAATTAGTTACACTTTCATGGACTTTCGGGATGGTATTAAAGTGGAAAATAAGAGGGAGAATTGTAAATATCAAGAGAAAACAAGATTTCCTTTAGCTAAATTTGCAAATTGAAAGAAATAATTCCCTAGAGTCAACGTGGTCTATGCTCAGTCTTACAAAACTGGGAACTTGGGAAAACAACTTTGCTACAAAAGGCTGTGTGGCTGACAGCCTAGAAAAACCTTTAAAGGTTTATGCTTTCACACAGTTGTGGGAAAAGAAGTCACACAAGAAAAGGGAAACAAAAAGGACTTAGAGTCAAAGTTTCCAAAACAAACTCAGACTAAATGTTAATCCCTTAACTTTTCACTTGCAATGGAGAGGCTCTATCACATCTTCTATTACTAAAGTGAAGACCATAGTCACGAGACCAGATCTCTCTGTATTCAGGAGACACAAAATAACTGCTACCATCTGGTTTTAGCTGCATATAATTTTCAAAACGTAAATGTAAATGGACTAGAAAAACACTGGATGCCCAGGTTACCATGGACACGTAACAGGCCCTTACCTTGTGCATCCATATCCTTCCTTTCCGAATGATGTGTGTTAACCTGTCAACACACACCCTGTGCAGTGGGAGGTAGAAACTAAGCTCTGTCTGTGGAAGGATAATCGACAGTCCGTACGTGCTCCGGTCTCCATTCCAGTTGCCGTCGAAGATTAAAGAAACGATAATCACTCCTTTCTCAGATAAGACAAAAAACTTTACATCAATAGCTCCGCTCTCTGCATTTCGAAGAATTTCTCCATTTAGAGTGTGGTTGGCGAGAAAAGTTATTTCTCCATCACTGAGAAGTACCTGTTCTGTCTTTGGAGCCCAAATGTGTCTTACTCTAGGACCGAGAATGTTATCCCAGTAAGCAAAGGTAGCAGCCAGCAACGGGGATTCACCACGCAAAGCAATCTCTGTCTTGGCAACAGCGGGAGATGGTGGTGGGCAGATAGTCGACATCCCTGCATCCCAGTTCTCACATTCTCCAAATGTTCGCAAAAGCTAAAAGGGAACATACAAAAACAGTGATCAGGTTCAGCCTTTTAGAGATATCCATCTAAACCCCAACTGACTTAGAAAAATGTTATATACTAAAATAATGACTAAGCCTTTATTAGCTCCAAACACACAGCCTTCATACAATTCTAATGACTGGATATTTAGTCCCTAAACCATTTCAACTAAAGAAGAACCAAAGAGGAAGAAAAGGGCTCTCCATAGGCAAATGGAACCTTACTTGCAAATAGGTCCAGTTAGATCAAGATGGTCCACACTGGAGCAGAATGGGTTCTACTCCATAGCTGTTGGGCTTAAGAAGAGAGAGAGGGAAGGAGAGCGAGAGTGGAGAGCGGCAGAGGGAGAGGGACCGACCAAAGCAAAGCAGGCCAGCTGCAGGAAGGCAAAGGGCAGGAACTGGAATGTTGAGTCTGGAAGGCAAGAGTACCATGGATTACTGGTCCCCACCAGCTGTGGAAGAAACAAGGGGGTTTCCCTGAAGCCTTCAGAGGATCATGTTGCTGACAATCACTTAACACTGGCATTAAGCTTAGAGTTTATGGAACTAAGAGGACAAACCCTTGCTGTTTGTATTTTTGTTATAGTGTTCTTAGAAAAGTAATTATAAAACCTGACAGCAGAAATACCATAAAACAGCGAAAAAGATGGAAGACCAGAACATCAGAAGGAGAGCAAACAGCTCTGTCACTGCGGATGAACGCTGGCTACGAAGGTGCCGAAGCCCAGTACTACCCTGAAACAGGGAGACAAGCGCACAGAGGCGGTAGTTCAGAAGGCAGGAGAGCAATGTGAACGGCTTCTCAGCAGTTAAACTGAGCTGAGTTTCAGTTATTCAGAACACAGAACAGGAAGACAGAAGAGCAAACCAGCTCACAGGCAAGCAGGAGCCAGGGGGCCACATACGGATCTTCTTAAACACACTGCTCTGGAGGAAAATCAACCCATCCTTACAAGTACTCAAGTAAAGAAAGACATGTCATCAAAGATTTAAAGTGGAGAAAACACTATAACAAAATGGTAGGCTCTATATAGGCAGCAGTACAGGAGGGAGCTAAAGGGTGATCTGCGATAAACCTATCTCTTTACCTGTGTGATTACTCTGGGAGTGAACATTTGATCTGTAGAAAACTGATGTCCATGTAAGTATGTTTACTTGAATGTTTACCTACTGGGCTGGCAAGACCGTCCAACAGTAATGGCGCCTGTATTCAGTCCCTAAGATCCATATGGCAGACGGGCACAACTAATCCCCATTCTCTCTGTTTCTCCCTCTCTTATCTACATTTTGTAAAGAGAGTTGAGAGTCTCATGCAAAGGAGTAACATCTATATTTAGAATGCCGAGGGAGTGTATTTTATCATATTATGATTGGGCATACAGAACTTGGCAAACCAGTTAAGGAATCATTTACTCGGAAGTTTTACATGTGCACTTTTAATTTCAGAAATTCACAGAGGTACTACTTACTTTTTAATATATGTCAATTTGACAGTCTGAAGAGACCACGTACTATATAAGATGTACAGCTTGTTTAAAATATTGAGTATTTTGGATACAATTGGAAGAGTCAGTTTCAATGAGGGAATAGAGAAATGTAATTTGTGTTGAAACTGTAATGGCGCTACTGTTCTCATTAACAGCAAACTGACAAATTAACTGAACACATGACCATAAGATGATATTGCAAATATACTTCTTTTCCATGCTTTTTTTTTGTTCGTTTAAAAAGGTGAATAATTCTAGGGCATTATTCCCAAATGAGAATAATGTGCATAGAAAAAGACTTCCCTTGAAAAATGTGACCACAAGAGTAATATATTCAGAAGAAGACCTTCCACGGTGCATAGCCTCTGCCCAAAGGCAATTCTTTCCTCACTGACACTAAAACGTTCTCTTGTAAAAGAATGTTTTGGAATTGGGCACACATCTCAGTGGTGGAGCCCTTACTTAGCATGTGCAAGGCCCTGGGTCCCATCCCCAGCACCGAAGAAAGCAAACATTTCATGTTCAAACATGTCCCACAGAGCATGAATTCAGGCAGAACTTCTGTAGCACTCCTAGCAATGAAGCTTTCAGAGATAAGGCCTTAAGAAATGTAAAAGTCCTATCATTACACTTTCTCATTAGTTCAGAAATAGTTTTATCTATCTAAAGCAGCACAGACCCTACATATCAGATATTTACATTATGATTCATAGCAGCAGCAAAATTACAGTTATGAAGCAGTAATGAAGAAAATTTTATGGTTGGGGTCAGCACAACACAAGGAGCTATAATTAAGTCACAGCGTTAGGAAGGCTGGGAGCCACTGCTCTAAAGGAACCTCCTCTGAACCAAGCACTCTCTGATACTTGGTCTAAACCTTTGCCTGGAAAACCTTCTCCATCTTCTCCCCATATTTATAGGCGAATTAAATCTACCTTCTTTTTAAAAAGGTGACTTATTCTAAGCACAACAGTACAATTTCACCGCTATAGTGAAAAGAAAAGCACTTCTTAAAGCAGGGTTGAGCCCCAGAGCACGCTCTTAAAGAATTATAGAATAACTTTTAACCTGATTGTTAATTAAACTATTATCAGCCATTAATTTTGTGTAGCCTTATTCCTAGTCTAAAGGAATTACAGAAAGGACTAAAGATCATGTTGGGTTGTTTAGCTTCAAATGCAGCCTGCCCTAAAATAGTACTTGCCTCTTACCCCAGGGAATGAATATCTAAATTGCAGAATATATATGTGTGTGTATGTGTGTGTGTACACATGCTGTCCTTTTCTGTACATTTTATTTGCTATAAGGTGTAACTTACAAATTAGACACAAAAATATTATTAACAACAAAATATAACTATTAATAATGCAGCAGAATATTAATGAACTCTATGAATGTGGCCTCTTTCTGAAATGTCTTATTAGATTCGCTCGCCTCCCCATATAACAGGCGATGACGTGAGGGGAACGGCACAGGCCTTTCGGTACTGCGGACCTCCTGATGTGTCAGGAGATGATCTTGGATCACCGAGCTCTGACAACCCTGGTGGCTGGATGTCCAGAGGAGGAAATGGTTCAGAAGCTTCCACAGCTGAAAGGTCTCCTGTCCAATTCTTGTGGAAAAACGCTGTATTCGGAAGTGGGTGTCTCTTTTTAACTCACTTGTTTATTGCTGCAGCCGTTACAGTCCTTCAGATGACTTTATGCTGACCTCCAGCCGAGCTCTCAGTTCCGTGGCTCTGTCCTTTAATGCCTTCGCGATCTAATACACACCGTTCTCATTCACTTCTCTGTCTCCACTGCAGGCTGTTTCAGTTTCTTCTTCCCCTTCTGCTGATTACTAAACACGTCCTTCTAATTCCTCATTTGTGAAAACTTCCCAGTAGCCTTCAGCATTTCCAGACATCATGCAGGCTAGCAAAGCCTTCAGCAACCTGACTTGCAGCTTCTCTCTTAAGTTCTGTTTTTCAAGTTATGTCCATCTCTGCATCAGGGCAGGGACCTTGTGAATGGCTTAGTGCCACTGACTTCCAGAGAACTTTATGATTGATTTATTTTAATTGTGTTTATTTACTTATGATGCACATTTATTCTTATTTAGATATTTATTATTAATTATTATGTATACTTATGTAATTGTATGTGCTTGCCTGGTGCCTGTGGAGGTACCTAGGTTCTCTGCAAGAGCAAGTGCTTCTAAGCACTGAACCATCTCTCCAGCCCCTTCAGAACTGTGGCTCAACTCTTTGAACAAGCCTACTGCTTCAGCACAGCGAGCTGTCAACAGCTAATGAACATGGCTTCCCTATTATGTCTTCCACCCACACACTCAACTTTTTAAAAGATATTAAATATTTATCGTGCACTGTGGTTATCACGTTGTAAAATGAATTCAACAGCAAGACCAGTGTAACTTTCATACCTTCTTCACAATTTCCCAGAAGCTTCAATCTCACCATGGATTCCAGTTGATATCGGCATAGCCTCCTCCCCCCATTTATGGGGAGCACTTTCACCTTAAGAGAGGCACATCGTGGCTTCTCTTAGGCAAATCCAAATTACTAGTATCATTATCTCCTATGCCATTATTAAGTATTAAGCTATTATTAAGTAAAATAAGGGTTACATACAAGTGACCTGGGAACTAACATGTCTACTGAGCAACTAGGAAGCAGGTGGTATATACGGTGTTGAGACAATGGACACAGACATACAGGATGAAGGGATCAACCATGTTCTGGCAGGACAGAGCAGAAGGTGCAAGGTAGCATTCGGCTGTTCAAAATAGCATGCTGCTTAGAACTAAGAAATTCTTTATTTCAAGAATGTAATATTTTTGGACTGTAGTTGAATGTAAATGAAATCATGAAAAAGGAGAAATTACTATAACCTAAAAAAATGAAGTACTACAGAGAAGTAAAACTAGGGAAGCTGTAAGTATGATTTTACTAACACTTGAAGTTAGCTTTGGCAAAAATCCATATACAACTGTGGGAAAAAAAAATTCAGTTTAAATTTAAAAAAATTTTAAAAGACCACAAACTCTTTTGAGGGAAGCCAGGATTCAAACTGAGTGAGATGGTGGCTTGCCACTTTATAAACAGAATGCAGGCTTTACTAGGGCTTAACCAACACTTTCAAAAGTAATACCAGCGTATTTACGGTAATAAGCACGTTAACAGTTAGCAGACAGGCACATCTGAGCTTTTTCTCTCTTTAAACAGCTACCTTTTTGTAGGCTGCATTTAGGAAGTTCTTGGCTTACTGCTACTGTGAAGGGAATTATCCCACCACAAGGCCCTCAGTTCTGCCAACAGTGCTTTACTTCTGCCATAAAGAGTAGCTGGGCCAGCAAGCAGCCTCACTGGCCAAGGAGGAACTACCCAAGGCCTCTGTAAAGGCAGTGGACTACCGGAAAGACCAGCCTTTGAGTTCAGACTCACACGGTCAGGACACGATGACTGCGCCACCCCTCCGAGTTGTCAGGCATTCTAACCTAACATTGTGGAACTATTCAATTAACATGTGGCTCTAGGGAAGGCACAAAAGATAAAATCTTACTCATTCAATCGTTCTCTAAAGACAAATATTGGATGGTCAACAAAGCCACATAAGACTATTTTACCAACTTCTTAAGTTATATTGACATTTCTCTCCTGGAACATTAAATCCTCGCTGAACAGTACAACCTGCAGTGCGGTCTTTGTTCTCGTTTTGTGTGGGATGAAATAAGAGCACGGTTCACTGTGAGGCAGTTTCCAACTAATTCAGAGTTTGCCGGCAGTGCCAATGTTCAGTGAAGCACTCGTTAGCAGTGTCTAGTCAGCTAGTTAACAGACAACACTAGTTCCCCCTGATCTACAGATTATTTTCTGAAGTTTCAGTACCTGTAGTAAACTTTAATACAGAAATAGTAGCGCAAATTTCCAGAAGAACGTGGCTTGTAGGTTTCAAACGACACATCGTGCCTTGCAGTGGGATGAAACTGCATGCTGGCTGTTCTAAGGCTGAGAGTCCCCCTTTCGTCCAGCACAGTCACGCTATCCATACTGTCTGCCACTAGTTACTTCTCTGCCCTCTTGGTTATCAGATCAGGTTCCAAGGACCGAGGTGCCTGCATCCAGGTGAGTCTTGTCTTACTCAACAGGGGTAAAAGTACAGTAAGGTACTTTGGAACTCAGAGATTACATTCATAGAACTTTTATTACCGCATTGCTGCAATAATAACTACTTTGTTATTAGTTATTTTCATCTCTTACTGGGCCTAGTTTGCTAAACTTTACCATGTGTATGATATGTAAAGAAGGAAAAACACCTACACTCACACGATAGTATATATAGGTGCTGCTATACACTGGGGGCCTTCTGGCGTGTCCTCTTAAACACGGGGGATGATTACAATATTTCAAACATTCTGATTCCATATTATTATTAACATCCGTGTATTAAGGTCTTTTGCTTTCCGTGTTATTTCTATATTATAAGTTTCCCGAGCTGACTAACGAACCTATCACAAAGTATTTTCCAGTCTCTTCTGGGGCCCTTTGTACAAAGTAAAAGTACTACTGAGACAGACTGTGTATCACTACTGTTGATGGAGAGAAACAGTGTGTGTAGGAATTTATCCACCTGCTGGGACAAAATTCTCCCGGAGCCTAATAATCCCTACATCAGAAAAAGCAATGTCTCCCGGGCAAATGCACGATTTCCCTCCTCTTCCCTTTTTCCTCTCCTGGCCAGACAGACCCTGCGTGGGCAGACTTATAATCAGTGCGCTTCTCTCTTCAACTGATTACTATCAGTCAAGTGATGCCCAAGTCACAATGGTCACTTCCTTTAATAAGTCTGTGCAACCGCGGAACTGTGAAGCAACCAGGTCATGTCCCACAGAAAAGGGGAACACCCTCTCTAGAGCTGCAGCCTACGTTACTGAGCATCGGCAGGCACTCCATGCAAACTTCTGTGAAATTCTGCCAGCGTGCTGCCGGTCCCTACTCTATCCCACCCGCGCTTTCTCCTCCCGGGCGGGGACCCTCGGAAGATCCCAATGGGTCCCAGGACCGCCAGCGTTCTGGCTGACGCAGGGCCAGGCCCCTGGGGCCCAGGCATCTGGCAGTGGGGACCGCGCCCGCGATATTCCCAGCGGGTTCCCGCAAGGGCCCGGGAGAAGCTCGGGGTTAGGGAACGCGGGCGGACAGTGGAGACGAGGCCCATCCCCATCCCCTCCGCGCCGCCGCGGCCCCCGCAACTCCAGGGCTCGCTCCGCTGCAAAGCCAAGAGAGCTTTCGCTCAGGGGACAGGAAGGAATTCAGCCCGAAAAAGAAAAAAAAAATCCCGCTGGACTCCAGCGCCGGCCGGCAAGCCGACCGAAGCAGCAGCCCCGCTCCGCCCGCGCGTCGCACTCACCCACTCGCCGCTGCTGCGCCTCCACCGCCGGCGCAGGGACCACAACCGCAGCCCGCTCCGGGCCCCGCCCCGACCACGCCCCGGACACGCCCCCTTGCATCCCCGCCCTCCAGCCCACCGACCTCCCTGATTCCTCCGGGGTCTCTGTGGGCCTTCTCGATCTTCTTCCCCGTTTGTCTTTGGTCACGCTTGTGGAGTCAAGCTCTTAGCTGAGGCAACCGACACGCACCTCCTTCGCACACCCTCCCCGGGCTGTCTAGACACCACTCCCACAGAGAAGGAAAGGGCAACTGGGATGGCTGACACTACAGACGCCATCTTCCACGTGGGCGGAACTTGTCTCTGCTTGACGCGCCTCTGCTTCCTAGCGGGACACCGTAAGTTCCGGCTTCGCGCTTTGCATTTGCTCTGCCCGTGCCTTGCGACGCCTGTGACAGCCTGCGCGGGCAGAGCCTGATTTGCGCGTTCTATCTTTTCTTTCAAACGCTGCTCAGGACAGATAGTGCCACCTGCCTTAGGGAAACCTGCTGGGCCCCAGAAAGCATACTTAGTGGTTTTAAGTAGTTTAGGTTTTGGTCAGCAGGTAGTGAGTGCTCAAACAAATATTTGATGAATGAGTGGATTTCTTTTCGGCCATCTGACACAGTTTAACCGCCAGACGCTCGTGCCACAACAAACACTATTTGTAATTCCTCCCCCACTGTGCGTAGTCACTGCCCGTTCTAAACGTCATTTTTGCTAAACTACGCAATGCCTTTTTATTATTATTATTTTTTAACTTGGGAAATCGCACTACTATTTTTGATGTGTAAAAGATTTTAATCTTTTTGGTTTGTAAAAATTTTACGGTTTTTCACTACAGATGAGTAGCGTTTAAAATTTTTTCAGAAGGTTGTCATTTACAGAAAAAGACAGGCATTAAAAACAAAATACCTCTGAAGTCTACACCTTCCGTAAAAACAGACCCCCCTCGCCGGGTATTGCACGTCTTTTTAAATCCAGCAACAGCCGTCTATTAAGTTCTTACACTGTTTTGTATTATGCTCTTCAGTCTACGTAAAGAATTATACTTCATTTGTGTGTGGAGTTAAAAATGCATCTGAATACATAGAACCATGTTTGGAAGGCTGGGGTTAAGAGTGAGATGCTATAGGTCAAAGTGAATGAACTTGCAGTTAAGACAGACAAGTAAGACTAGCCACCTAATGAATAAGATGAGGGATATGTTTATACTATATTCCATACTAAAAAGTTACTATATGGGTTTTAGGGACTCTGACTCTCTCTTCCTCTCTATTTCTCTGTCTCTCTGTCTGTCTCTCCCTACCCCCCCCCTCTCTCTCTCTCTCTCTCACACACACACACACACACACACACACACGGTGTTCATTTGTCTGTAGTAACGCAAAGCTGTCAAAGTAATTCATTTGATCAGTTTTTGTGATTCCTGCTGGATGCAGAGGACATTTGTTTGGTGTCTGTTGAAGTAAGCCCTTCTCTTTTAAACTTGTCTGTGGTGATTAAAACTAACACTGCCCTTCAGAGTAAGACTAGAACTTGGATTAAGTGCCTGGGGAAAGAATACACCTCCCCAATTTTTCTTACTTCAAAATTTTGCCTGGAGACAAAAGTAAACTGTATTTATCAGATATTTGTTTTGTGTCTATCAGTCATAGAACAAGTATGTTTTATAACAAACAAACACACAAAAACAAACCAAAAAAGGATTAGAGATGAAACTCAGTGGATAGAGGACTTGCCTAGCATGTGTGACTCCCTGGGTTGGTACCTAGCACAGTCCTCTTACTCTCTTTCTACCTCTCTCTCTAGAGAGAAATAATGAAATACTGAGACATAAAACTCTGTATGACCAGCAGGTTGGTGGTGACACACGATTTTAATCTCAGCACTCTGGAGGCAGAGGCAGGTGGATCTATGTGAGTTTGAAGTCAGTCTGATCTGCAGAGTGAGTTTCAGGACAGCCAGGGCTACATAGAGAAACTCTGTTTTGAAACAAAACAAAACACCCCCCCCCAAAAAGAAAAAAGACAATAAAAGAAAGAAAAAAATTCTGTATGACCACAAGAAGTGAAATAAATCCTGAAATGTTGTAGAGGTCCTTTACACTGGGTGAAGATGTGCCACTGTGATTGGTTTAATACAAAGCTAAGCAGCCAATAGCTAGACAGGAGGTATAGGCAGGACTTCTAGACAGAGAGAGCTCTGAAAAGAAGAAAGGCAGGATCACCAGCAGACACAGAGGGAACAGACATGCAGGAGGAGAGGTAAAAGCCACAAATCATGTGGCAACACATAGATGAAGATAAATTGGTTAATTTAAGTTATAAGAGCTAATGGGACAAGCCTAAACTATACGCCAAGCTTTTATAATTAAGAATAAGTCTCCATATTTTTACTTGGGAGCTGATGGTACTGGAGAAAAATCCACCTACAATGATAAAACTTACATTTTTTCACTGTATTTTGTGACCAATGAATGGAAACCTTTATGTCTGATGGAACAATTACTTAGTCATTGGTAGAGTAGCATAGTAGCTTATATATCTTTAATTGGGGTAAAATTTTAATAATCAGGAAGAAATTAAAAAGTATGTATGCTGGCCCATAATTCTTTTGTTGCCTGAAGATGTAGTTTAGTCTATCACACATACATCTTTTCTCTAGGGAAACACAGAGAAGATGATGCTAAATGTGCAGGGATGTGATCCTTATTATTGGTGTGGGAGATTTTTAACCCTCAGTCTCTCAAACTTTCCAAATAAAGCACCTCAAATAGCTCTAGGCTCTAAGTCTTGCTATGGAATTTTATTTCCAGGGCTGAAAAGTGTTGTGCATTTGGTAGAGGGCTCGCCTACTCCAGACCTGGCAAGACAGCAAACAACTATAATCTGAAGCAGGAGGATTAGAAATTCAAGGTCATCCTAGGCTACCTGCCAGGCAGATGGCTATGGGGTCTATTAAAGCAGAATAAGAAGTTGGGCTCTGCAATCACAGCAAATGCAAGTAAGGTCTCTGCTTTAGATCCACCATTAACATTTGGACAGTCCTTTACTTCTTGGTGCCAATTTCTTCAGTGTTAGATTACTTCAGGTGGCTTAAAGGAAGGAATGAAAAACAGAATGAAAGAGAGGCCAGTCTGACCTTTCGGCAGGACTGCTTATTCACGGCAAGGGTGCATTTTGTTACCCACGTGCGTGGATGGCAAAATGCCTACAGAGAAAGAATGACTGTGATCCTTTAAATAGGGAAGGAAATGACCACCACAGGTGCATTACATTCTTTCCATAGTCTGTTCTTTTTTCTTTTTCTTTTTTTTTTTTTTTTTTTGATTTTCGAGACAGGGTTTCTCCGTAGCTTTTGGTTCCTGTCCTGGAACTAGCTCTTGTAGACCATGCTGGCCTCAAACTCACAGAGATCCACCTGCCTCTGCCTCCGGAGTGCTGGGATTAAAGGCATGCGTCACCACCGCCCGGCTCGTAGTCTGTTCTTTCTGGTGTTGTCTTGCCTAGTTACAAAGGAAACTTGCAAGTATAGTCTTTTAGCAGGAAACAGCCACTCAAAAATAGAATGCCCAGTATTCTCTTGTTGTTGTTAGGGTTGTGTGCAATCAAGCAAGCTATGAATTTATTCCAGTACATTCTAGATGCGATGGCTCTACTTTCATTTTGATAACTGCTACTCAGCGATAATAGATGTAATAATAAATGATTTGCAGCTCTCTTATGCTGTGCACATACTTACAGTTCTAATAAATATGTCACAACGCAGAGAACCTTCTGGCTGCATCACAAATGCCAGTTGTCAGGAAGGCTTCTCTCCATCTTCTCGGCTAATGTGTTTCAGAAGTGTGATAGGTATTGCTTCAGAGCCGAACCGAGGGCTTGCTGATTAGCTCCTACTTACCGAGATTACAGAAAATTAGATGTGACTGAGACCGGCAGGCGAACAATTTCAAAGCAGATACGGATGAAGAATATTGCTATATAAGCCACACAGTTCATTTAATTTCTCGTAGGTAATGTAATTGTATGTGGTTGCCTTCCTTAATCATTGACGACTTAATAAATAGGCACTTTAGGATACATTGCCGTTTGTTGAAATATGAATGGGACAACACCCAAGTAAGACACCTCCGGGTGGAGCCTTAGTTTGTTGAGCCAGTATGATGTACGGATTTAGAAAAGCCCAGGGAGTTTCTGTCTGGAGCCAACACTTTACAGTCCTAACAACACACAGTGTAGCTGCTGCGCTGCAAGGAAATGTCCTTAGGACACAATAAACATTTCTTTTCAGCCCCTCCCAGGACTCATGATTTTATCAACAACATCCTCAGCGAGAGGATGCCATCCTTAACCAGATATTAGACCTTTTTCCTTCACATTGGTGCTGTGCACCTAAGGTGCTGTGCACCCAAATTAGTCCCAGGAGGTGGGTTTCCTAGCTCATTGCACCCATAAAACACAGGAAAGCAAAACATCATCTTAAATCTTAGACATTAATGTACAACCACAAAGAGATTAGGACATTATGCTTCTTCAGAGGAAGAGAGGATTTGTGGTTGTACATGTCTAACAATTTGATAGATGACAGAGCAGCCAACAGTGCGTGTTGATGGTGTTGGTACTCATACAGACAAGTCACAGCGATAATGCACCCTTTCCAACCACACACTTCCCGGTCTAGCTCAGAACGCCTGAGCACCTCTGTCAAGTGTCACCACCTATGAGGAACCATTAGCAACTTTGCAGTTATATTTATATTTTATTGCATCTAACGGGGCTTGGTAAGCAGGATTTTCAGGATTTAGGAGTAGTTTCTGCATGTTATTTGAAACCCAAGATCGTATGCCTATAGTTGTACCTGTGGATTCATTTGCTTTTTAGCAAATCGTATTAGAAAATGCCAGGTGTCTAATTGAAACCATTCCAACTCCTGAAAAGTGTTATCCTTAAGGCAATTTTCTCCTCATCCTCCTCATCTTCTTCCTTCTCCCCTTATACCCAAAATGATAGCACTCTGTAGCCCAGGTTGGCCTGGAACTTGTAGCAATCCTCCTGTCCCAAACTTGGTTATTTGTTTGGAAAAGAGCTTCATTTGAGAGACAGACTCACATTGGTTTAAACCAAATGAGAAGCTTTGGGGAAGCTGACGTCTTTCTTGCCACCAGTTTAGCTTCTTTCTTGACGCCCTTCACTTCTTGCTAGTTATTTGACTCAAGTGAGAAACAGGAAAACACGACTAATATCTCAGGGCCAATTTAA